TATTGCCATTTCTTCAATTGCTGTCAATGAATTAATCCATTACTATAAGAATATCCAGATAATTAAAATAATAACAACAATAAAAATAATTTGCAATATATAAAATTGATACCTTTCTAAGAAATTACTAACACATTTATGTTGCAAATTTAATTATAATTTGGTTTCAGATATAAATAAAACCTACATGCATATTCATCATTATAATATGGTATAATATAATAATGATAATTTAAGAAAAATACTGAAACTAACATTGATTTTTCTTCACTAATGTTGAATTGACAATCAAAATAATTGCAGCTGATCTATTTCCAATTTGACTTTTTATATCACCTTAAAAAGAGACCTTCAAACAATTTCCCTTTAATAACTGGCCCAATTGGTTTAGGTCCACTGGTCCATTGACTGCTCTATGCATCGTTGTAATTCTCGTGAAAAAGATGTCAATTAGTTATTCATCCCAATCGACTCAAAGGAGGTGTCAACGACGGATGGAGTTTTAGAGGTAGACCCTCACCACTACTTTGACATGTGGACACAATGGTCAAAGACATAAATATCCTTAACATAGACACGTGTAAAATGTATTGTAAAGTGTAGATCTCTGATGTGTACAACACAAATTTTGTAAGTAAAAGACTTGAATATATCTTAAATTGACTTAAACATACTTGAGGCTTTGAAATGGACGTATCTTAGTGGTGGCCCCACGTGAAACGTTTAGAACCGTTTAACATTAATGTCACATAATCCATCTAAATTTTAAAAACCCTGTTTTGCCCTTTAAATGCTTCTTCAATCTGTAATTCTGTACTTCCTCAAGAAAAATTGTGCAAAAGGGAAAATGAGAGTCCTACATACCATGGAGGCTGGATCAATGCACAAAATCCATAATTGTGCTAGGAGTGTTCTAGTGCAGTTGGGTCATCATCTTCCTAGTATTTGATCAAATGTTGGAGCCGAAGTAATACTTCATGGCTAAACTCACTCACACTCATGGAGGTTGTCCCAAAGTTAGGTGAGGATTCAAAGGGAACTTTAAACAATGAAGGCATCATTCTGGATGAACAAACCTTAGAGTGGGACTTACAAATAGTTATGTACGAGGACTATGCCCAAGCAACAAAAATAACAGATAGCCTTTAGCTTCTCCATGATGATAGCAGGGCTTCAATTCTAATGGCAAATGCACAATTTTACATTTCCTTCAAAATCAGAGATCTGGTTATAATGCATGGTTTTTAAAACCAGATTGGACCGGAAAAACTGAGAACCAATGGCAGTCAAACCGTTCGAACTGTCCAATAATTTTGACCATTTTATTTTTTTATTTTTTTGTTAGAACGGAGCCCGTTCGATTCAAACAATCAAACTGTTTGACCCAAGAACTGGACCCTTAACCGATTCGTTATCCAGTTCGGTTTTAAAAACCTTGTTATAATACAATACTTTTAGAGGGGAACATGCCTATGCCTTTTTGTGTACCCTGTTGTGACTGGAGTATTTGGTTATTTTCTTGTCATGGGAGTAGTGAATTTGTGTGGGTAGAACATGAATTCCCACTTGAGATAGAGCTAAAAAATGTTCAATTTCACGTTTGTCGGGCGATGTTAGATAGGCAATGTACACGGAAGTGGTTAAGTAGCATTGAGGGAGGGGAGAACAATTTGCTTTTGAGCTATTTTCTTTGTTTCAGGTTTTGATCAACTGTCGTTGACCCAGATGGTCAGACCGTTCAGCCTGGGAACCGTCTAGGCAATTGGTTCCATTTTACCCCAAACCCGGTCCTTAGCCAAAAATCGTTGAATCAGTCAACGATCTATTGACTGGGCGGTCGAATCATCGACCCGTCAACTCGTTCAATGGGTTTTGGACATTTTTTATATATTTTTTAATTTTTTTGTCAGAATGGGTCGTCCATTCAAACCGAACGGTCGAATCGTCAATCCGGAAACCGGTGGCCAGAACGGTTCCGTTTTTGGGTCGTTTTTTAAAACCATGGTTTTGACTACATCTGGTTTTCATTACCTTGCATTCTAAGCTATCTTTTGTGGTTCAATGTTTAATTATTTATTTGGGAAAATTCATGATTAATATTCCTAGTGCCACTTTGGTCCCCAAACTTTAAAACGTGACTATTCAGCATCCGAACTTTCAAAACGTGCTAACCCATCTACTACTTGTCGTTAATAGACCGTCAGTTATATGTATCACATGACATCATGTGTGACTTATGACTTTTAAAAATGTCAAAATTGACCTTCAAAATAAAACATTGTTCATCATCTTCTTCCTCAAGAAGATGAAATAGAAGTGCAAAACACCAAGTCAGGGATGCTAATATGCTTGTGAGCATTAGAGCCTTTTGAGCATGAACGGCAAGGAGTACTGACCATCAACCATTCTGCCCGTGAAATTGAGAGAACAAGGAAAACCCAAGCTGCTCGTGAAATGGAGAGATGCTGCCATTGCTGAAACAACAAAGGAATCAACCAAGAGAGAGGAGAAGACTAAAGACATCGGGATGATATTGGTCTATATAACCAATATATCTAGAGTTAATGGTTTAGAATCCGCCCTTTAAATCCTTAGAATAATATAGAGACATAATAATACACAGAAAACCAAAACAAAACTTGGAAGGTGGCTAGTTGAAATTTACTGTTCCAAAGCCAACACAACAGAGAGGCAAGACAGAGATCTTTTAAGCAAATTAAAACTTAAAAGGACCTTGAAAACTCCGGATTCAGATCCAAAAACGAAAGCCCATCTATATTTATATAATAAATGCAATGTGCCAAGCTTGTACTTTCCTGCTATATGGTTTATTACGAAAGTCATTTATCTTTTCTTTTTTACTTTCTTCTCAAAGGCACTTATCTTTTTTCTGTTTTTTTTTTTTTTCTAATTTTAAAATTTAACAAAATAACTCAAGTGACCAATAACTTTTAACACTCCTCGTTAAAACACCATTAACTCTCTCTCTCTCTCTCATTAACTTTTTTAATATTCTCTCCTCATTAATTATGTATATTTGCATTAAATTGTAATTATCAATAAAGATTAATTATATTGAAATTGAGATATTCAAGGATATATTATTGCACTAAATAATCTACATCCGTTTAAAATTATAATCCATTTATATTCCATTTGAAAATAATAAAAATGAATTGTCCATAACAAAAATAACTTAGTAAGTCAATTAAATAAAATAAAATAATTATTAATTATTGTTATTGATAAAATTATTTTTATGAATATAATAAAATAATTTAATTAATAAAAGGAATAAGAGAAATTAAAAACAAACATCAATTTGAAATTAATATAAAACTAATACAAAGTTATCTAACAATTATTAGTTTTATAATTAAAATTTATTAATTTAACCAACTTAAGCTCCACTAAAAAATAAAAATTTATGTCGTTAATTAAATTTCATAAGGAATTTAAATTAAATTAAAACTTAATATACTTAAATAAATTAAATTTTTACTAATTTAAAAAATTAATAAAAAATTAGTTTTATAAATAGTTTAATGATTTTAAAATCAATTTAAATTTCATTTAAAAATAAGGAAAATTATAAAAACCTCCTTGGGTTTTTTAACAATCCTATGAAACTCCCCTATTATTTTGAAAAAAAGGTGCAAATGCCTTTAGTCAACATTCCAAATAAAAATGTTGATGTAATGCATTAATTTTACTTCACTTTAGCCTTTTTACATTTGTCCAAGGAGAGTAAGGATAATTATTTTTGAAAGTTGTCTAGCAAAATAGATTAGTTGAGGGTAAAGTTGAAAGTTGAAACCTTAATTATGTATGATAAGGGTATTTTGGTAACTTTAATGTCTTTGTTACTAAGGAGTCAAGGGAAAGGAGGTAGTTGCACTTTTTTTCTCAAAATTATAGGGGAGGCCTTTGTTAGGGTCAAAACACAAAGGTGGTTTATGGAATTGTTATAAGAGGATTTTTTATAATATTACCTAAAAATATTACAAAAATAATAACAAGCCAATAAAAATTATTTTTTCCCAAAAATTAATAAAAATCAGCATCAAGATACAAAAAAATAATACAAATTTATCTAGAGAATATGAAATTGCATTAAAGCATAACTTAGATTGTGATCAGATAAACTAGACATATCCCTAAAAAATAATACTTTAATTGAACTTAGATGGACACCATTTAATTAGAAATGTCATATAGCTCCATCTTCAATTAAAGCTGAGGCGGTTTGAAGACTTTTGGATTTGCTTTGATAGAAAACAAAATGAGAGATTAGGTGAGGTGCAAAATCAAGTTCTTGATTTCTTCTTGACTACTTTTCTTCTCTCCCCTTGATAATCTTCACGTGGACTATAAATATCACGATTTCGTTATGGTTAATTGGTTATATAGATTTGTGCTTGTCCACTGTAATAACATAACTCTTCCCAACTTTCTCTTGAAATTGGTAAAATGATGTTCAATGTTCAGGAGAAGATCATCATCCATCACTAGATTTAGACATTTGGATGGTTGATAAAAAAAATTAGATGACATATGAAGGGTATTTTGTGTCTTTTTGCATGCCACTTGACAACTGGTTTATAACAAATACTGGATTGACATATTTTAAAAGTTCGGATACTGAATTGTCACATTTTAAAGTTCGATGACCAAATTGACACATTGGCACTAGACCCAAAGTATAGGGTACTAATCGAGAATTTTTCCTATTTATTTAAATTTTACATTTATATGAAATTAGGGTTTTAATTTTTCTTTAGTTTTGTTTTATTATTGGTTTTCTTTGAAAATTTGAAGCATTACCCATGATCTGATTTTGTGAATCCAATTAAATGGTGGAAAATAAAGTTTTGCATTTGGCATATCAATGTTGATTGTTGAACTAGGACCTATTGGAGATCGTAGACGGGAAGACCCGTCTACAAAAGCATGCTCCCCCTAAACCTATCTATAAGACCCGAATTGGACGTTACAGTCAGTCCATAATAACGGCAGTTCGACAAGCTGATGAGCTTGGCGCCCGAAAGTTTTGTTTACTGCGACTCTGTGAGATCTTTCCCCGTTATTCATGATATCTCTTCTTCGAAACCTCAGATATCGATTCAGAATCTCCACAACTCTCTTCCCCATTTCATGTTTGCACTCTTCCAATCAAACCCTAGCCCCTGATTCAAAGCTTGATTTCATTTTGCAAGAGGTCGAAGAGCTCCAATCTCTAAAACCAGATAGAATAGGAGAAGAAGATAAAAAAGACAATGAAAAAATCTCTAGTAGTCGAAACACTAGCCCAACGATGTCTTCCGTCGTGTCGAAGGTCCAAATTTCACACCCGTGGCCGGAATGGGTAGAACTAATGGAACGCCTCCTCAATAAAGGTTACTTCGAAGGAAGCGGATATCCTTTTAATCATGAACAAATGAGCACCAAGGATACGAACCAAATCCGAACTGCGTGCCTCAATTTTGCCCGTGATCGGTTCGACCTCCTAAGGTAAGTACCAATAAGCCATTCATATACACTACATTATTTGGCGATTGAATTCATTCCACCCGTGTTTATTTCATTGAATTTAAATTTATGAGTTTAAGCTTGACTTTAGTTGGAAGTTTTGTTTACCGAACTCGGCAGGTTCATGATCCCAATTCCCAAAGTTGGGTTCAGTTCAGTTCAGTAAATTTTTTATTAGAACTGAGTGTGAGGCATACCTTGATTGTTTTCTTGTGAAATTTGCTCTAACTTTGTCAACTTTATATAATAGGATTACTCAAGAATAAAAAGCAAATCCCCCGATTTGTACGCTGTTCACTGTTGAATGACTTTTCTAGGTGCAATTTATTATTTTCTTTAAACAACCATTTTCCTTTTAAGGATGTTGAGTCAAGGTTTGGTTGGATGCGATGCAAAAGCAATGCCCTGTATCCTCCATTTGGTTTCAAAAGGAATGAAGGCAGTTTGGATCTTTCTACTCGTTTGTTTATTTAGGTTGAATGATGGCAATTGCAGTGAAATGAAAAGAAACTTTCAGAATCTTAAGAAAAAGTGGACACTATTTAGGTTATAGCATATTGGGAACCTCAACAGCTGAGATATTTAACCGAAACCTTATGAGAGAATAGTTCTTTGTTAACATGATTTATCAAATAAAACAGTGGCTAAACCCCTGTCCTTTTTCTTTTATACTTAAATCTTTCTTAATTTATCACATAAAACTCTAGCCTTCTTCAGTTGCTAATTTAATATGAAACTGCTCTATTAAATACTTATTATATTAGTATTATTTTTGAAAATGTTAATTTTTTTTTTTGAAAAAAAAAACTCTCAAAACATGGAAAATCATCATATGCAAGACAATAGTATTTTAGAGATGTTAGTTTCAATGTTTTCTAAAATATATTGTTTTGAGAGTAAATTTAATGTTGTTAGTAAAGAGAATTTCTATTTTTCCAATTAATATGCAACGGAATGGTATACAAAACTAGGAATTAACTAAAATTTAGTTTTTTATTTTGTAAAATTTTTATTGCCTGGGCTACTAGGTACCCCATTGTTGCCTAAATCTCCTAGACACCTTGACAACTAGGCATTGGAATGAGTTCTTAAGATCTTTTAAGATTTATTGGTATCTAAAAGAAATGACTCAGGAGGGAAATGATGAGACCATGTTTTTGGTCAAGAGGAGCAAAAGTAGAGAATGAACACAATTCGTCCAGGAAAAAAGTGTAATGGAGGTGAAAAGGGGATTTTTTTTTTTCAAGGAAATCATCAATTTCTGAAATTTGGAGCAGAAAAGCCAGTTCAGAAGTGGTAAAGATAGAATGAAAAGAAAAGATAACTAAAACCAGGTACATGGCAGTACAGAGAAGTGATAAACCCAGCTAGGAGCCAAGAACTTCATTCACATGGACTGAAAGATTGGAAAACAGCATGGCAGATGCTTTGTCCAGGCAATGAGTGAATACAAATCAATTCTATTGTGGTTTATTAACCCAGGGAATGGGGTGAAATAAATGTAAATGAGTGGAATTATAGGTGCAGCAAGTTTTGGCCTAATCTCAGCAGGATTTTAGGCACATTATTCTTTGTACATTTTTACACAAACTAGTAAACTGAACAGTTGCCAATAAAAAAACAAAAAAAAAAGGATAACCTCTTTTCTCTTTCTTTCTCTCTGGGAACTGGGAAGAGAGAGGATCATCATCATTATCAACTAAGCCTTATCCATACTTTAGGATTGCTACATGGATCCTGTTATATGCAATTAGGATTCATGTAATACTTGGAAAAAGTTATCTTCCTGCTGCCTAACTGACTCATCATTCTTCCTCCTGCAAAAGGCTTGGGATCAAGATACAAAATACAAGCTAAACGGTCAAATTAAGACATTTAGGAAACATAACCTTTCCCCCTTCTCTTTTTCCCTCAAAGCTGACCATTTTAATATTTTATTCCTTTTCTTTTCTTTTGTATTAGACTTTTTATTTTCAATAGTATAAAGACATTTATATTTCTATTCTTTGGTTTTAGGTGATAAATATCTTAAGGCTTAGTTTGGAAATAGTACAAATGCAAATATGTACAGTGCAAATACATACAAAATATAAGATTTTGCACTCTACATATTTGCAGTTGTACTCCTTCCAAACTAAGCCTAAGTATTTAACACACCCATAAAGCACAATGCTGATTTTGCACACATTCAACTAATAAGATACTTGCACTACAATCTAAATCTGTGAAATTTATTAGTACTTATTGTCCAACAAATGCTTTTCCTGATAGATATTTCTCTCGGAAAGACATTCAGATGATTGTGGGATCTGGTTGCCCAAGCATAGACAGAAAAGTTGTTAACTCTGGAAAGCGACTAAGGGCACATGTGGGCATCGACGAAGGAAATGTATATGCTGGCTTTCTCTTCTCTTCATTGTCAGTACTTTGAAAGTGATGCAATGTCTTTCTACTCATAAAATTGCTTAGTTGGGTGCAACTTGGGTCAGGCTCAACCTGAACCTAACTGATCTAACACAAGGCTAGTTTCTCCATACCTTGAGTGAATATGAGGTTGGAAAGTTCCATCCCAATTAAAGTGGGGTTAATCTTGAGGTTCTGGGCCTGAATATTTTATTTCTTTGTGAAAAAGCCAAAAAAAGTTTGTTTTAATTCTCAAACGAAAAAAAAAATTGTGGATTCAAATGTCTCAAGCCTCTTTTAAATTAACATTTTGTTACACTCTTGCATGGTGCTCAACTTCATTTGACCTGAAAACAAACCAGTCCGATATGGTTTGATTTTGACTTGACTACCTTAGGTTAGTATTCTGGCAGGATTGGTTAGGGTTGAGGGTCCTATGAATTGGACTCAGGTTGGCAACCTGGCTTATGTTGCATCCCTGCTTAATAGGTAAAAGATAATAATGGCATGTCAAACCTAATGTAATCAACTATCTTAATAGGTTTGTAGTTCCTGCAGTTTGAGGGGAAACTGTGAGAGGGCCTATGTGAAGGCTCGTGAGGATGAAGGTGGACGCACAGTTGACATCATGCGCATCTTATTAGTCTATGGCCTTGATCCCATTGTTGGCTCAGTGGAGAACAAGTCATGCTTAGATAAGAGAGTTAAGGAATCTGTTAGGAGGCTTTTGAATGAAATGGTAGAGTTTAGCACCAAAGAAATTGATTCTTTTACTCTTAAAGCCACAACTTCGAAAAGGATTTCACCTCTGTCTGAGCAGTCAGGCCAGCAACAACAAAACCAAATTAGTGTTCCAATGAAGCAAGGTGACTGGGTTTGCCCAAAGTACGTCCCTAGTGTTTATATGCTGTTTTAGACTTCACGGTTAGTATATAATTCAATTTGATATTTCCTCTACCTGTTTTAGATGCAATTTCATAAATTTTGCAAGAAACATAAAGTGCTTGTGCTGTGATGGGATATTCCGAGAAAGACTCGTGAAACTTGGGGAGGATCAGGACCACCTTCCAATGAAAAAAGGAGACTGGTTATGTGACAAGTAAGAGTTTTTCAGATTCCTCCACTCTGTGTGTGTGTGTGTTTGGTAATCATTCTTCCCCTCTATGTTGCTTGCGTATCTTTCACATTACCTAATTTAAAATTTTACAGATGTAATTTCTTAAATTTTGCCAAGAATATAAGATGTTTGCAATGTAAAGAGAAACCTCCAAAGCGCCAACTCAATCCAGGGGAGTGGGAATGCGAGTCGTGAGTTCTCTTCTACTTGCAACTTTCAATCTCTCTAAAATTGGTTCCCCTTTTTTTTTATTTTTGAGTGTATATTACCTTGACCTTAAACATTATTGTACAGATGTAGTTACTTAAATTTCAAGAGAAACATGAGATGCTTGAAATGTGACTGGCAACGGCCCAAAGCATCAAGTTACCCAGGTACTTTAGTTCAGATTCAGCGTGAAGGTGGAGGCTTTCATCAACGTCATGGAATAAAGTTTGTAACAAATGATGATGTAACCGATAGTCAGCCTTCTAGTAGACGAGAGAGACAAAATTGTAGGGACAGTGAAGATGGCCATCGAGGTGATGCTGAATTTAGCCCATGGAAGAATTTCCAGAAGTTTGAAGATTTTCCTATTGTAGGGGGTAAGAGTGCCGTATCTCAAAGTCCATTAGAGAGGGAAAGATGGAAAGTTGAGATGTCAAAGAGACATGCAAGTGCTCGAAGGGAGAAGGAAACAGCTGATGATTTTAATTCACTAAGCTTCAGAAAAAGACCAGGTTTGCTAGAAGCCACTGATGATGAGGAGATGGCTGGGTGGTTTGGATATGGGAAGGAGACTAGAACAGGGAAATATATAAGTGAAACGGAGGCATGTAATGATTGAAGAAAAAATGTCTGCCCCTTTTCTGTTTCTATACCAAATTCAATAGCCTAATTGATATTGAAATTTATTGCTATTATATATACTGAAATTTGATATTCTTCATATTCTTTATTTGTCCACATTTCTCATGCAAGTTCTAGGAAGTGAAAAGGCTTCAGCAACAAAGCGTAATGAATGATTATTCACTTGGTGTTAGAATAGGAAATCTAGAAGACAAAGGAATACTAATAGAGCTCTTTTGATTTGTTCACATATTGCATGGCCAATCAACCGACAAAAATAAGAGAACTGCATTGAAGAATATATTCTTCAAAGTTTATGCAGGAAAAAATTGAAACATTTGATGAATGTAAGAAAGCGACGAGGAGTTAAAATGTGCATTTACGCCCATTGGAGTCTGGAGATATCATAATTAATGTGACGATTTCCTCCATGAAACTGGTTTTTGGATACTCGAGCTTTATATAATTTAGCATAACAACCATGTAAACCTGTTAAGGTGTTTTCTATCAATCCATTCCTGTCGTCGTTTATTTATTTATTTTGAAGTCATTTTCTGCTTTGTTTATTTGTTTAATTTGAGTGTGTTAGGTTATGATTTACGAGATTGTTCAAGACTTCAAGTTAATGAAGAGATGGACGGAATTAGGGGTGAGCATAAAAAACCGAAACATCAAAAAAACCGAATTGAACCAAAACGGTTGGTTCTATATTTTTGAAAAACTGAAGGTACCGATTTGGTTTTAGTTAACCAGTATAATCTCTAAAACAACCGATAAATCAAACTGGCTGAAAACTGAACCAATCAATTGATTAACCGATTGGCTTCGGTTTGATTTTGGTTCACAGTTTTCCAAGAATCGATGGTATTGGTTCAGTTTGAAAAATAGGCCCAATCGAACTATGAACACCCCTACATGGAATTAACACTTGTAGAAACTTGTGCTAACAGGAATATAGGCTTCTCATTTCTAAAATGGGCAAGCTTCTACAAGTCCAGTACTTCCATTATTAGAAGCTGGAAGCTTAAGGAAATGAAGCTTCATGAAGAAAAACATATACCAGTTACAACTGTTAATGGTAATACATTATTCAAAATCCCATTTGGCCACATTGAAGCAGTCAAGTAATGTAACTTTGAAATGGAGAACTTGAAGGGCTTAGCAATCTTGATGTGCGTTGTTTCTTCTCTGTTGCTTCAATTTCACTTCCTCGTCTGCTGTTAATTTGTTGTAGTTCTACTTTTTGGAGGTTGATCCGTTGATGTATCGTTTTCCCATTGGAGCCTAATGTGTGTTTCAATGTTCTGATCAAGGGGTTCATGCATGTTGAGTGGTTTTTTTTTTTTTCTTTTTTTTCTTTTTTTTTTTTTCAGTTCATGCACGTTGAGGTTGAGCGTTCATTAAAAGACATGATTTTCATTGTCGTTGCTTGTGGCTTCTTTTGGGTTAAAACGTAAGAGAGGGGGGGGGGGTCTATTGTCCTTTTCGCGGAACCCAGATGGCAAGTTGGGCTGATCATTTTCTTCTAAATTATTAATTGTAACAACTGGGCCTACAATTGTACAAAGGGTCACTTCATCTTTTCTTGAGGAGATATAGTAAGCTAAAATTATAAAACAATGAAGGGGATAAGAAGGAAATTTGAAAAAGTCTGTAGGCTACATTGAATTGTTTAATTTGAGCTACTAATCTTTTTTTTTTTAGTTTTTGATAGCAGGTTAGCTAACAGCTTCTCATTTCCAAGAGGAACCAGTGTTTCAGTGAAAATCCTTAATTCAACCAGGATCAATTGATTATAAGTCTAAATATCTAAGCTGCACCATTGTAAGCAGTGTATGATGACAGAACATATAAGAAAAAATATGTCAAAAGTAAGTAAGCAAAAAAAGTTGAAAAAGGAAATGAAAAACAGTAAAGGAAACAAACAGCTCTTTGGAGAGGTTACAATTGGTTAATGCAGGCTAACTAAAAGAACAGATTAATCATAGTTATCTAGACATTTTCTTACATATATATGCACAGTGTAACAACTAAATTTGAACAAAACATTGGGGTGTTGGGTCCTGATCATTCTTCTTCTTCAGTAATGCCCCCACTCCTGCTTAGGCGTAAAAGCAAAGTTTAGAATAGAAATACAGATGAGAGAGAGAGATGTATCGTAATAATAATGTTCCACAAATTTTTCTCGTTCAGAAGCTATGGAAATTCTTGACTAAGTTTTGAACTTTTCTCAAGCAATTCTTAGGCTTTAAATAGCGTTCCGCAATCAATTTGACCGAGTTATTGGGCATAGATTTCAAAACAGTCATCAAAGGTCTACAGCAAAAGAAAGTCTAAAAACAATTGACAGATCATAGAGCGGGTGTGTTTCAGACCAGCAAACATGAAAATTGACAAATTACAGGAACACTCAACACTGCTTTTGGTGACAGATTCCAGGTAACAAGAAACATGTGGCTACAAATTAGAGGCTTAAGTAAACCAGCCGTGTTCCACACTTGACGTGAGGCTTGCGATTGAGCTACGTAAACCAGTATGAAAAGGAAGCGTGGTCCCTGGTCCAGTACTCTAACTGCTACTACTAACTTAAATCCCAAGAAAAAGTTGGTTTTGCTTTGGTGGTCTTGACTATCAAGTCTATCACCTTTTGTTTCTAACTACAACCCTACAATCTTTTTCTGTTTAATTGCTTTAGTGACGTATCGTCTCACTCTGATTTGGACTTGCATAGAAATTAGGGAGAATGACGCCCAGGGTCAGAATTTGTTGGCCCAGAGTACAGTTGGGGTAAGTGACAATTCCGAATTAATGTCAATTTTAAGGTGGTCATTGGCGCATAGAGCGTGGATTGTTGATATTTTGAATATTTATAACTTTACAATGGAAATCAGAAATTTGCATTGGGTCTGTCTGTATTTTTTCATAGAAATTATGATCAAAGAAATAAAACAGTCAAAGAATAAAAAATTATCCCTGGTCAGACAAGAATAAGGGTCTGGAATCCAAATCAAAATGGGCCAATCTGATTCTAACTGTTTGATTGGACGAAATTGGAATCTCATGGCATATCTCCATTTTAGGAAATGGCCATTCCCTCCTTCCCTCCTTCCTTGGAAATGAAAATTCCATTTCAATTGATTCCAATTCACATTCTTGTATGAACCAAACAGACTATAAAAATAGATCAATCGCTACCTTAGATCTGAAACCCAGAAAAGGTTGTTGGAGTAGTTGAAACCAGGGCTAATGTGGTGCTAGTTTATCTCCTCACAGAATTTCTTATGCGTCCCTCCTCTTCAATAATGTGTCTCCTTTAATCTTATTCCTAGTCAAAATCTATGCCTCAAATTAAAGTTGTTTTCTTCTTTGAGGGAGAGGGAGCTGTACATGTTGTCTAACAAATAAAAGCGATATGGGCAGACCTAAAGAGTCTCCACAATGCAGTCAAGGAAAAGCCATGCAAGTGGCTGAAAATTAGTCTGTTTGGGTTGTCTGGGTTTTTCACCAAATGTTGTTTATTGGTTTTTTTTTGGGTGGGCCTTCCCTCACAAAGGCCAAAGCCAAGAGCAGTGATGTAAAAGCCCTCCCAAACGGGCACTTTTGTAAAAGGAGTTGACCAACACTTAACGCTTAGCCTTGTTTATTGGAAAAAAAAAAAAAAAGTTGTGGGAACAGGGAAATTGGAGGTGGTGAGGCAAACAAAAGTAGAATCACGGAAACAATGGAAACGGGGCCCAAGCCCAACTCTCCTCCCCTTAAGCAGAAAGAGACGTAGATCCATGAAGAGAAGCTATAGGCCTAGCTATAGATTTCTCTTTTGACACATTATCGTTTTGAGGGGAAACCTGGATTGGATTACTTTTTCTGAGTGCTGTAGCCAGAAGGGGTGGAGTGTTAAAAGCAAAATTAGCTTTACTCCTTAATTAATCCCTTTTCATTTTAAGGGTGGGAGGCATAGAATATTGCTTTTTCCATCCCTTTACACTGAAGTAAAGCAACCTTCATATGTGTACCCACTTAGGAGTTTTAAGGGGAGAAGAGAAGAGAAGCATAATTAGGGGATAATGGAACATAATTAATCTTGACAAATTAGCAAACACCTAGATGAAGACATGCCACCCAATTGCTTCATTATAATAATCCTACTATATATAGATAGACTTGTAGGACTAGCATCTATCTTATATATGATCCTTATCAAAATTATTTCATATCTTTTTCATTAAGAACATAGATGTTATGGTAATTGGAAATTTGGTTTAAGTAGAATCTTAAAAAGACATAAGTGAAGACTATATCCCAATAATAAAAAGTATTTACATGACATTTGAAATTTTCAAATGTCTATTTTTTACACTTTTATGGCACCTTATTTTATATTTTGTGGACAAAAATGCCCTTGGCAAATTAATGTTAACGTGAAAATGAAAATTTGAAAATAGGTTCATAAAAAATAAAATAAAATAAAATTTTTACACAATAAAACTGTATTCAGTATTTAGTATTTGTGAATAAGCTAGGTTACTTTTCAACTGCGAAATATGTATTTTCAAGGAAAATTGATATTTTATTACAAAGGACATCTTGACAAATTCCTTATTTCTGTTTAAGTCTATCTATACGGATACATCCTATAGTTTTTTGGTTAAAGCCTAAAGGAAGTGTAAGTTAATAATACACCTGAGTCTTGAGGGGAGCTCTTAGCATTTGACTGAAACTCATGGGAGTTAAAAGTAATTTACCTTATATAAATCAAGACGTAGCTTGATTTGCTAGTCAAGTCTACCTAGTCAGTTTTTGATGGAACCAAATCAATAAAAGTCTTATTTTTCCAACTAGTTTTGTATATAATAAAATTACAATATATATTTAGTTTTATTATATAATTTTTTATGGACCAAGTGAAAAAGGCGAAAAAAAAATGGCTCTTTAATGATTAATAACAGTTTTAATTAAGGCTATTTTCTCAACTTTTACAGAGTTATAAACAACTATTTTAAAACAATATTAGTTATTTGCAATTTATAAAATATTTTCCCCTTAGGGGGCATTTTTTTAGGATTTTGAGAGGGGGAAAGTTGGTCAATGGGATTTTGATTC